TGGTCACCCTGGACTGACGTGGAGCTAAAATGTGCTCTGCCATCTGGGAACACAGCAGACTGAGTTTGTGTCTGCCTAAATCATGCAAGCAAACTGTTAAATAGCCACATATAAAAATGGTTTTTAAGGTAGTTTAATCCACCAGAATTTGCCAGCACAATCACCCCCCGCCTGCTCTGAAAAGCAAGTAGGCAGCCTGATTTTTACAATCCTGCCTCTACAAATGACTCTTTGCGTGTTTATTGGCCAAAAGATCACATTGTCTCTGATGGGGATGCTCTATGGTGGGAGGAGGCAGCAAGGCAGGAAGGATGGCTATGGGACTCTGATCACAGCTAATAAAGACAGACTGAGGAGATGACTCTAGGCAGGAAGCTGGCAGAGGTCTCCAGGTTCAAAAAGTACGAGAATCACACCTTCTCTAAACAACTGTATTTTCATGTTCACAGCACAACACATTTCATCTATGTGCACTCGGTGGGTGTGTTAGTGTATTTCAATCCACCCACATGACAAGCTGAACAGAAACAGCATAAAAGTAAGAGAACATGCAGTACTTGCATTCAGGTAACTGAAATCATCACTCTAAAACCAGAAAGAGTGCAACAAAAGCCCCAACAATAAACAGTGTTTGAAATAGTCCTGTGCTGGGAAAGGAATAGACTACAGGACCAAGTAGGGCTCTTCCATCTTCAGTCTCTAGAAGGACCATGGATCTGCAAATCATTTTTCTGCTTGTTGGCAAAAGTACACATCTGGTAAACTTTCAGCACTTTTAACCCTTCATGTTTCATGACCTGTCTCAACAAGACATCAAGTTCAAGTACCAGTAAAAAAAACAGCTCTATCAACAGCAAACCAAAGCACTAGTGATTGCAAAGCTGCAACACAGAGATGCAACTTTTTAAATTATAACAGAAATCACAACACTTCAAGTACATTTAAAATTTGGCTCAGTAATAAATGACAAAATTACAGGTAATCAACTGAGGAAATACGGTTTTGTTTCACTTCCAATCAACAGGTGACTATCTTTCCCATTTTTATATAATACACGAGAAATCTGATTTAAAGTAGCATATGAACAAAACCAACATGAATTCAAAAGACTTCTGCAATCAACCATTTCAAAACATGGAACAGCCACAATCTGTCCACTTCTTATATGGGAGATAACTGCAGAGTATTACACTAAAGTTGTGGCCTTCAAAGTGGGGCACAAGCACCACAGGGTTAGGTAAGACAATCCAGTGGGGTGCAGGATGAACCTACCAGAACGTCAACAGTACATGTATAAAAGCCATAAAGTACTAAATACTCAAATAATGAGGGTGGATGCACAAAAAGTTTATACTGCTAGAGATGCATACCCAAAATATTTAGAGACCACTGCCCTAGAGGATCCTGCCACACAATTACTGCTGCCATGTCAGAGACATCTAATGAAGATGTGATGAGATATGAGCTCTCTTTTACAACTTTTCTCAACTATCACTTACACAGATGGGCAAAAATTTCTCACGGAAGCAGATGTGTGAACTCCTGTCTTTTCTCAAGGAGCGTGGATTCTCACAAAAACATCAGATGAGTCAATTTTTAATTTTTTTTAAGAAATGCAACTTACTGCTTTCTCACAAATCTCTTCCCTCCACTCCACTTATTGCAAGCATGGGGTGAAAGAGCTCATTGTCCTTAATGAACTAGAGCACATCGTGTTGCATGTGTCATTCAAGACAGATAACTTAAGGTATCTGCAAATGGGAATGGCTGACCTCTCTGGAAAACTCTTCAATAAAGGAGAAAAGTTAGTGTTCTTTTTTTATCTGGGCTACTTCACTTGCAAGACAATGCAGTTAGTGAACAAAATCTAGCTCAGCAATCAGCCATTATGTTAAAATCTAACCAACAGATTCCAAGGTGCAAATACAAAAGAGGAAAATTTTGCTCTTAGCCAAAACATGATGATGAGATCTGTTCATATCTTTTCCAGTCTGGAATGAGAAGGATGTAGAAATGGTGACTAAACAGAAATCTTGCGGTGTCTGTAATCATTATGAAGATGTTTGGGATACCTGATTTAAGGAAAATGTGGATAAAAAGAGACAAAATAATAGTGACATGGAGAAAATCTACCAAGCAACCTTCCACAGCATCACCCAACAAAACATGGGATGGGTGGTGAAGATGAAAGCTAATACTCTTAAATTAACAGAAATATCTTTTTGAATGTAGTGAGATGCATAATTATCCCTTCAAACTCTGTTTAGTGAGAACATCTGCAACTACACTGAGTGAAATTAGGACAATAATTCTGAATGCTTCATGGCACACACCAACCACATCAAGCATCAGCAAGGGCTTAGCTAAACAATCACCCAACAGCAGAATGCACCTACCCATCTATGTACTGAGAGTCAGATTAGATGTTAGGAGAAACATGTACTGAGAGTCAGAGTAGATGTTAGGAAAAATGTTTTCCCTGTCAGGGTGTTCAGGCACTGGAATAGGTTGCCCAGGGAGGTGGTGGAGTCACCATCCCTGGAAGTGTTGAAGAGGTGTCTGGATCTGATGCTGGAGGATATGGTTTAGGGGTTACAGCAGTGACAGGTTAATGGCTGGACTTGATGATCTTAGAGATCTCCTCCAGCCTTGATGATTCTAACATGTTTAGGACTGCACATTTCAGTTTTTCCCCATTCAAATCTCCCTGCAATATTACAACAACATTAATAAAATATTCTAATTACTTTTAAAAGCCCCTCCCCCCCATCTTCCTTCACTGAGAATTCTGAGATGCTTTTGTTTACTTTTAATTTGGAAGAGAACTCAATTTCAAATTCCTGCAGGAAATTAAATTTCCATCTTCAGCACTGCTCTACTCCAGCTATCAGACATGAAGCATCTGAGCGGATATGTTACATGGTCACCCTTCTCAGCTTCAGAAAGCTCTCGTTGGAGCCTGGATGGCAAGATTGAATTAAGATTGCATTCTTGGCTACACCACTCAAACATAATGAAACAGTGCTGTCTGACATAGCTCCTGTTCTACACATGGTGCACATTTCAGGCTCAATCTGTCTGCCCAAAAATAGGTGAAAAAAAAAAAAAAAAGGCTAAGATGTTCTAGGTTACATTCACAGGGCTGGCAAGCATGGCACAGGACAAGTGGGAGAGCTGTGCCCTGCTGGAGAGGCAGCTGGAGGCCAGGCATGATATTTCAGCACTTCAGAGGTGGCACTTACACCTATGCCTTGGCAACTGTGTTAAGCACTTCTGGTTTTTACATTTGTAATCTGGATCAGTAAGGAAAGAAAAAAGTTTTTAAAAAATGTAGCTCTGCAATACATATTTGATATTGTTTTAGAGTTTGTAGGTATGTGCTTGAAGGACATTCATGTTCACCCTACCAGTTTGACTAATCCCATCACTAAGCTTTTCCAGTTTCAGCCTTGCACTTTCTGTTGTCAAATTCAAGAACTTCAAGGGCTCAGATTCCCTCTTTACTCCTTTTCCATTCACTCCATTCTTCTACTTTAGATCAGCTCATACAAAGCCACAAATCACACTTATAGGCTTATATCTACCTATCTTTTTTTTCAGGGTTTCTTAAGAACTTGCCTGATCCCAAAATGAGGTACACTTCCAAACAAGGCAGATCCAAATTCTAACAGAGAGGATGAGCAGAACAGACCCTGATGCTTCCACAGCTGCAGCTGATGACATCTTTTCCTCCCAGCTGAATGCCACTGTTTGACACTGCACTCCATAATACACAGACACGAAGGTAATGGTTCTCACCTACGACGACTCTCACAACCTACTAAAAATCTTCATTTCTGTCAGGAGCAAATTTCACCCTGAAAATACGAAGCCATAATTTGGTGCCTTTAAAAGCAGAGCCAACTGAAGCACTGTGCATTAAACAGCTGGCAAAATAATGTCAACATATATTTCTATTTCAGAAATTAAAATATTATTTATGGCCTTCATAACTACGTCACCTACACACCTTTACCAGACACCAGTCTGCAAACTTTCAACACAATTCATCCACCAGACAAGGCAAATAAGGTATGGGTTATTGACCTTCAATGCTTTTAAAGCTCTTCAGAGACAGCAGGTGTCAAAAAGGTAAACAGAAACCAAACTAACTTAATTGCTGCAGTGTTTTGTACTCAACTGTTACAAAAAACTGTTAGCAAGCATCTCCCTTTAAATAAACCATATAGCAAATATGCTGGATTCTGGATCTGCTGTCAGAACTAATGTTGTTTATTAAGTGGGAATATTGTTTACAAATAGAAGCAGTTAGTCATTTCTTGTGGGGCTGCATATTGCAAAGATTCATTTTCATTTCTTCATAAGCATCAAAATTTCAGCAACAGATTTTAAGAGAAAATAGCTGATCTTAAAAAACTGGGTTTTTTGGTGTGGTGACAACTTTGGCTTTTTGGGGACTCTTACCCAAAGGCTAAGGCTTTGGGGATCCTTCCTCTATTCAGCTTAACACTAGATACCAATATATGGCAAATGGCTGGCAATATTTGGCAAGTGCAAAAAAAATCAAAGGTTACTTAAATATATGGGAAATAATAAATATATGGGAAAAAATACCCCAAAATTCTTGCAAATGGTGAGAAATTATACTTGAACTGTCCAGATTTTAATACCATAAAGATGACATATGATGTAACTGATGTAATATTAAACACTGGTTAATAAAAGACTGAATTTAATTGTCTTAATTGTACTTAACCACAGCTACAATTTTGATTTTTAAAGATGAATATGGCCAATTCGATTTGGAGCTACATAAACTGTACTGCTACCAATAGACTTTGTTTATTTAAAGGCAGAATTTAACTGAAAACATTTCCAAATACCAATTGGAAGGTTTTGTCTATCTCGTTTGCTTTACTGGTTATGCTGTAAATCTACAATAGGCAGAACATTGTGCATAAAAAAAACCCATTAGTTTTTAGAGATTTAAAATTACTTACAAGCTGCTCAGACTTTACACCATAAAGCTGAATGGTCTTTGCCACATTTTTTGCCACGGCCAAACTCAGGTCTGGATCAACAGCAGCCACATTTAGCTCACTGGAAGTAAAGATTACAAATCTCCATTATCAACTGAACAGTGTTTAATTGATGCAGAATTAACTGTGAATACCTAGGTACGTGGCATGTCAGTTTAGAGAGAGTAACACACACAACCAAGTCTCTCCACGCTCCGTAATTCAGTTTACAATTTAACAAGTCATTTGGGAATTTCATGTGCAGTGCTCCTATTCTAGTCAAAATGAGCAAAGTTTAGGAATGACACTTCAGGATGAAATCACTATTAGTAAGCCATTCAAAAATATTGACAGCAATTAAGTACATTAAAGCTTTGGCAGCAGCCTTCAAGCATTCCAGGTGAATACACAGTCATTCAGCTCCGGAATTACATGAGCTGTGCAGAAATACCCAGGGGATGCCTTAGCTTGACACAACTAATAAGCTGTGTTTTAGGCAATCCTTTATAGTAACAGAGGCCCCAAAGGAATGACAGGGAACAAACCAAGAAGGAAAAGACTTCTAAATCACTTCCAGTATTTCTCATTCATGAACCTCCCCAGATCTCCTTGGGCTGGGGCTGCATTCAGAAATGTTCAGCTGAAAACAGACCAGCACAAAGAACTGTCAAGTTGCTAATGATGAGATTAACCTGTCTCAAGAGCTGGAGAATCACTAGGCACCCTGACCTAGAATAACCTTCTCCAGGAACCCTGCAGGGCCCCAAACATCATCAGCTAAAGGTCACCCTGGAAAACTCAAGTTGAAATTTCATAATTTTGATTTTGCTTTCCCTTCTCCTTTGCAAGGGGCAAAATAACATCAATAACAACACCAACAGGCATGTTCTGAGCATCTGCAGCTCCCAGTGATGAGTACAGTGTCAGTATGTCATATTTTGCACACACACATTGTGAACACTGCCCATCATTTTCTACTTTATTAAACAGAGTAGTCCTTACCAAAACCTTATGAGGGAAAATACACCCTTGGTAATTTAAACATCTCACTGTACAAATTCTACATGGAATAGTCATCTTTATCTATTATCCTGCTGTTTTGCTCTAACAGAACATTTACATCAGGCATTATCACTTGCAGCCAAGCAACTATCACCTCCCCTTTGACACAGTCAGAATAATTAAGATATCAGACATCTATATGTGTGAAGCTTCTCTTCCTGATGTTTTAAAAGCTTAAATATTAAAACTCAAATTACAATTTCATTTATTCCACAAAAAACAACATACAGAAATTAAATAATAAAATGCATTCTTTATTATCAATAATAATAAAGAGGTGATTATCCTGCTGTATTCAGCCTCACCTTGAACACTGTGTGCAGCTCTGGGCCCTACAGTTTAAGAAGGATGTGAAGTTACCTCAATGTGCCCAGACAAGGGCAACAAATCTGGTGGGAAGGAATGTCCTGTGAGGGACAGCTAATTAGGAACTCCAATGATAAGACAAGGGGTAATGGGTTCAGACTGAAGGAGGGGAAGTTTAGGTTAGATATTAGAAAAAGGTTTTTTTACTGCAAGGGTGGTGAGACACTGGCCCAGGTTGCCCAGGGAGGCTGTGGCTGCCCCAACCCGTGCTCCCAGCCAGGTTGGGTGAGCCTTGAGCAACCTGCTCTGGTGGGAGGTGTCCCTGCCCAGGGCAGGGGACTGGGACTAGATGATCTGTAAGGTCCATTCCAACCCCTAAGATTGTATGATTCTATGACTTGGGCTTGTGTAGTTTGGAGTAAAGGAGTCTGAGGGTCAACCTCATTGCTCTCTACAGCATCCTGAGCAGGGGGAGTGGAGAGGGTGGTGCTCAGCTCTTCTCCCTAGGATCCAGTGAGGAATCTCATTTCTAAAACCATAACTTATGAAAAAATACAGGCTGAAGATTACATCTTGCAATGCCTTTTCTGTGCATACCTGGCTATGGTTTTAATGATGCTGTCAAGCTCGTCAGAAGAAGGAGGATTCCGACCTCCAGGAGGGAAGACAAGATTGATGGGGTCAAAGAGTCGAGACAAGGATTTTGACAAATAAGCAGCTTCATATTGTTGCAGTGAATCTTTCAAGGCCTTTTCTGGACTTTGGGGATAAGACAAAATTACTACATGTTAAATTAAAACACACAACAGCATCCAATTTTTCCACACCATACAAACTGCCATACTGAACCTGTTTTTCCTTTCTGCTCTTTAAACATATGCACTTGAAAAAAATTCTTATGACAAGTCTCCCACTGACTGCCCAGGAGCATTTTTAAGCCGATACAATTTTCATATAAAATTTTCATTTTGTCTTACATAAGTCCAGAAGTCCTAACAGACTTGATGAGTCTGTTCCAGTTTGATCTTTCTGGTATCTACCACTTAGATCATGCTTATTCTACGATGTATAAACCTAAAAACTGTGAATCCTAAGAGCTGAGCATTTGTCACACACAAATGACTGTGATGTTGTTAGGAGAAAGCTACTGCTGTAATCAAAATGCAAACAAAACTGCATTTTCAGCATTCTGCTATTTTTTTTACCCAAGGAGACAAAAAGACAGACTTCATTCAAAACTCAGAGACTTCGTGAACGACAAGACAATCCAACACTGATAATTATACAGCCTAATGAAGATTCTACAGCTCTAAAACAGTGTTAAAGCAATAACTGCAAGAGGGAAAAAAAGTCTTACAAATTTTCCTGCTCTGACAATTTAAATAAAAGTAAGCTCATAAAATTATTGTTTTCTTACGGGGTGCAAAGACTTTAGTATTTTATTGCCTTACAGTTCATAATACATACTCATAATCTTCATTTTTTTGCATGAATATGTCCTGTGCATCTTCCTCCATTTGTTGTAGCTCAGCAAAGAGATCGGTGGTTCCACTTGTGTTAAAACTCCTCTGAATATTTTGGCTATATTGTTGCAGACGTTTCCACAAGTCATTGTAAAGCCTCAGTAACTTTGGGTATTCTCCTTCAAACGCTTGTTTCAAAAACACAGAGGCTGCAAAATAAACCAGTAAGCAATGCACATTGCTAAGTTCAAACTAATGGGTTTAGTTCATATAAACAAGCTGAATCCTTGCATTTAGATCAATGAATGTTACACACTGTGATCCTGAGTTTAATACTAATAACGTAATAATTAATTTCAAAGTGGCATGAGCTATCCCATTAAATGCACTGGACAAAGTTATGTATCTAAAGCACCTGCATAAAACCCACAATGGGAAGACTGGGCATGAAAAGTTTATTTGGTACAATAAGGATACTAATCATGGTTGTGAAATGTTTGGTATCAAACTTTATTATCATTCCTTTAAAGTGTGATTAGAACTCTCTAAAGCTAGAGATTTTCTAACAATAATGGAGGAAAAGTGTGGGGCTTTGCAGCTTTGAAGATAACCATTTAAGACAGACATAGACAACTTCTATGAACCAAAGTCTTCATAAACATAATGAGAGAAGCATATGCTTTTATGCAAACTTCTCAAAACAAGGTACTTAACATGCAATTCCTAAACCTGTCAGAGAATGACAAAGTCAGCAGAAAAATCAGCATTATTTCAGCCTTGAAAGGCTTGCCACAAGTAACAGGAAATGAAACAAATGTACAACTGTTTTAGCAACTGTTAATCTTGATCTAACATCACTCATACTCTATAGATTTCCCATTACATTAGGAGATTAACACTGGCCCACTCATTCCTAGGTTTTTCAGGCTGCAGACATCTGCCCCATTTCATCCAGCCTGTGCTTTCAACTCAAATATATTCTGATTTTCAATACTGGAGGATTCACATTTATTACCAAACACAGAGTAACTTTAGGTCATGAAGCTGTTTATAAAGATTGTCCCAACCTCAAACAAGCAGATCATGATCTATTATCAACTTCTGCAACATAAATTAATTCCTGGTTTTACACTATTTTTCTGCTAAGTCTTCCTCTGAACTCTATGATACAGAGTCCATAACTGATGTCAGTGGATTGAATCACCAGGAATTTATATGTTCAAACCAAACATTCTCATATAGATGCCTTGCTTAAATGAAGTCTACCTGCTGTAAACATTGTTTCCCCAAAACTCAGCTGAAACATCACTAAATTAATTCCTGGTTTTACACTATTTTTCTGCTAAGTCTTCCTCTGAACTCTATGATACAGAGTCCATAACTGATGTCAGTGGATTGAATCACCAGGAATTTATATGTTCAAACCAAACATTCTCATATAGATGCCTTGCTTAAATGAAGTCTACCTGCTGTAAACATTGTTTCCCCAAAACTCAGCTGAAACATCACCCACATTCCAAAAACCAAACATTCTCATATAGATACCTTGTTTAAATAAAGTCTACCTGCTGTAAACATTACTTCCCCAAAACTCAGCTGAAACATCACCCACATTCCAAAACCCCTCTAAAAATTTATATATAAAAAAGGATTAAAAATCATAAGCAATAAATCAGCTGTTAGACAAATCACAGCTGACAAAATCTAAGAGTTCCCTCAGTTCTGTGATGTTGGTTGATCCCATTAACTGATGCCATAATTCTACAGCCTCAAACCTGAGTTCTGGAAACAGGTAGCACATCTTGAGTTGGAACACAGGAGACTCTGGCTATGTACATACTGATGTTCAAGCAATGCACACAGCAAACAGTAAAATTAATATGTTTTAACACAAGATGAATACATTTTCTTTTGGGATCATCTAGTTACTTAGCAACCACTGAACATGAATCCACAGCTAGTTCCTCAAAATTACACTGCTGCTATAGAGCCTGGAAGGACCAAATTTTGAAGGGCCAAGGCAACAGCTGAGATCATGAAGATAAATGCATATCTTATGCACTTTATCTGCATGGGCAGAAGAATAACTTTATACATTGTATGCAAATGTGAAAGATGAATTATGAAAGTAACAAACTCACCTATGATCCAACTGTGTGCTGCATTAGCATGTACTGGGAAGAGAACTGTCTTATGTTTACAAATTATTTATATTTAATTTGCCTTGATTCTATCTGCCATTTATGCATTACATATGTACAGAATATTGTGTGTAGTCTGAACAGCCATTTATCTATATTTAGACATGACAATTTTGAAGAGACTCAAAACCTATTTATAAAGGTAGCAAAAAAAATGGCTAAAATCAGATTTTTACAACCAATCTGTTTCACAAGAAAAGACTAAGAATTGCTCTTTAAAATCAAATTATTGGTTTTGAATTTGGCAAACCCATTTGCTTTAGGAAGTATAATGCACCATTCCAAACATTTTTACCTCCACATAGAGATGGAAGAATACTTTTTTTGTTATTAGATAATGACTACTTAATGAAACAGAAAATATTTCTTTCTGAAAATTCAACCATAGTTTAGGAGGATCATCCTGTCTGGTTACAAAACCAAGAAGTTTTAAACTCACAAATCTTGTACTGAGTGAACCACTATTATGGTCTTGGTGGGGGAAATAATGAGCAAAGGCTTTACTGAAAAGAGAGACTCAGAATACCTACAGAACACATTACAAATCATTCATATTGAATACTTACAGTCTGTTGCTGACTGAAACTGAGAGGAAAGTGTCTGAGTTACTGCAGTCCAAAATTTGTACAAAATATCAGCCTGGCCATCCTGAGAGCAAGGGACAAAAGGAACACAGGTTTCAAAACATACACTTTTCAAAGAATCCTGAACAATGCAAATGCTTCCAGTCAAAGCTGCTATTCATCACTGAGAATGCAAACAAAGTAAACAAAACCTGAGAAGTTTCCCTCAGGTTCAGAGCTAGTAGAAGTTCTGGAGAAAGCAAAAGCTTCGGTCATGTCTCCAAAGGAATATTTTCCTCCAAGTCTGAGAGGAATGCTCCCAGCTCTTTAGGGGTATGAGTGCAATCTGGAGCAGCACAACTCAGGAGATGTGTTAGAAAATCTCTTTGCACTGCAGTGACCTTCCCATTCCATGGGGTTTCCCAGCAGTTATTTACTGCCCTGACAATGTGCTGGCACACTCTGAGCAGGGACCCAAACCACACACACAACAGCTCCTGTTTCTGAAAACATAAAACACTGGAAAAAACCTCACAGTTGACTCTTCACTGCCTGCTGCCAACACGGCTTGCTGTCAGAAGTGCAAACAAGGGAGCACACTTGCCAAAGGGACAGGCAGCAATGCCAGGCTGTTTCCTTACTGCCCCAACATCTGGCACTCACACCTAAGCATTAAAGCATGATTTTGCTTTCCCTCTTTTGTTTTCTCCCTGTGTGTTTGAGGTGGAAAACAATTGCAAGAGATGAGGGTGGGTATCCTGTCCTGCCCACTCGTTGGACACTTGGCAGGCTGCTCAGTGTTTTCATGGGAAGGGGAAGCTTGCTGTCTGCAGAATGGTTTTCTTCATTGCATGGTACACACATCATCCATTCACCCATTAACCAGTTTGACCAAATCACTATAGTATAACATGTCAGTTCAACTCCTGCACTGCCCAGTACCACAAGAAGGAGGAGGTGATCTATTAAATATAAAAGTCCAACCACTCCAAATGGAATTGCTGCTTAAAAAGACACAGGAAAAAGAAACACACTCTATTCACTTGCACTGGCAATAACATGCAAAGCAATGAAGGTGTTTAGAATGTCATCCATAAACAGGTACCACTGCATCCCACTTGAAGATCTGGTCATTGATCATTGAAAGACACCAAGGTCAAAGCTCAAGTTTCAGTTAAAAAACTTGTTATCTTACCAGAATGGATAAAACACCTGAAAACCAGTGAAAGGCAAACTGAGACATCTAAAAGTAATAATAAAAACCCCCAGGACTATCAGATAAATGCTTTTACAAATTCTGTGATTAGATGAGGAATTCATCCAACCCTACCCCTTTATCTAAAGATAAAGAGGATAATGAGAGATAAAATTCATGTGTCATGTGTTAAGCATTGAGAGAGAACATCTTTTATGCTGTTGGACTCATACTTGTAAAATGTATGATAATTAACATCAAATGCTAAAATAAATCAGGATTATGGAATCTCATTTTTGACTGCTGGAGGACAATGATGGATTTAGAAACTGAAATAACTTATCTTATAGCTATGTTTGTATTTTCTGTAAAACTGTACTTGACTTTCATAAATGGGCAAAGTAAAATTGTAATATCAGAAAATGATTCAGAAGGTTCACTGCATAAAATCTCTTTTTTTTTAAGTTTATTGCTACAGCATAAATGTGAAATTACTTAGTTCTTCATTTCACAGCCTCAAATGTAGAACATGAACACTACTATGAAACAAATAGCCTTCTACATTGACTATAAATTAATTAGTTTTCATATTCTCTACCCCAACTTGGAACCATGTTTGCCTACTCAGCATGGTAAGTCAATTCAAACTCTAAATAATCTAATGGAGGTGGAAAAATACTTACAGAGCACTTTCAAACAACTTTTTCTCATTACTGTAATCACCATCTCTGCCATAGTCTCAGCAGAAAACACAGTGATTAAAGGGTCCAGAAAACAAAACTGCACATAGCTCCTCCACATCAACGTTCCTGTCTTGTCATTGTGTGTGTCATTAATTGTCATTTTATGTGACAAATAACAGTAATGTGTGTGATGACATTTAATGCTTTGAGAAGATATATAACTTTTGTGTGTACCTATATGCACATATATAATATAAAGCCAGATATCCATACATAAGATCATAGAACCATCAAGGTTGGAGGAGACCTCTAAGATCAGCGAGTCCAACCACTAACCTGTCACTGCTGGAACCACTAAACCCTAAACCAGATCCTCCAGTGACAGATCCAGACACCTCTTACACACTTCCAGGGATGGTGACTCCACCACCTCCCTGGGCAACCTATTACAGTGCCTGAGCATCCTGACAGGGAAAACATTTCTCCTAACATCCAATCTGACTCTCCCCTGTCTCAGCTCAAGGCCATTTCCTCTAGTCCTCTCCCTGCAGCCATGGCAGGAGAGATTATCCCTCACCTCTCTACAACTCCCTGTCAGGTAGAGAGCCATGAGTTCACCCCTGAGTCTCTTCTCAAGGCTAAACAAACCCAGCTCCCTTAGCCCTTCCTCATACCACATGTTTTTCAGACCTCTTCTGCCCTCATTGCCCTTCACTGGACTCACTCCAGTGCCTCAATGTCCTTTTTGCAGTGAGGGGCCCAAACCTGAGCACAGCACTGAGGTGTGACCTCCCCAGTGCCGAGCACAGGGGGATGATCACTGTCCTAGTCCTGTTAGACAAGGCAGAACATATGTTCTCAGGCACATGTTTGCATAGGTAGCCACAGCCACACCAATTAAGACTCTGCCCATTAGCTTCTGCCTTCTGACCTGGGCAAATGGTGTTCATTAACCGTATCAGAATTTTGCAGTGAAGAATCATAGAATCATTGAATCAACCAGGTTGGAAAAGACCTCCAAGACCATCAAATCCAACCCTACCATGCTTCCTCGACGATAGCACTAAGTGCCACATCCAGTCTCAGCTTGAAAACCTCCAGGGAAGACCCTCATGTCTCAGCTAGCCAACTGTATTATGGATGAGGAGACACAGAAGGGAAAAGCTACATGGAAAATACAAGCAACATTTCATACTGATTGACTACTCAGTCAAAAATGTTTAGGGGGAAACATAATTAATGTGCCAGTTTCAAACCAACTAAAACCAGTATCTACAGAGTCATTACTGGTTGCTTCTATAATGTATGATACAATATTTCACTTTGCCCAGTGCTGAGACAGAGTCTCTCTGGACATGAAATACAGCTGCTGATTAACAGCTCAGAGAAGTCCATGTAAGAGTTTGTGGCAGGAACTAGAGAATACTGTTGCCTACACATACATCAGAGGGTATTTAAGTGGGTGGACTGTAGCTACCAACATTGGAATACAGCAAGGCATTAGTATTAGATACTCCTGCAGGAGTAAAAAATGCCATATGTAACCATGAGCACCCAGAAACAACTTACTGTGTTTAAGTCTGTCATTTCTTCTGCTTACACATTAATTCAATATACTATTTTTAATGTACTTTTAAGTGTCTCACTGCTTACTTTTTCAACAATGTATTCTACCAGAGATTACACTCGTGCCTGTAGATCACAATGAAAATCATAATTTAACTATTTAAAATATAACGTGCAATTTCATTCGACAATAATCAGTACCAGAAAATTAAACAAAAAAAGTGTTTTTCTCCAGCTTAGCAGGAAATTAAAGGAATGTCCCTTGTATTGGCCAACCTCTTCAAGGACTTAAGGTAGGCAGGATGCAGCTGGGAGAGGAAAGGGCAGTGCTGCTTGCCTGAAATGTACACAGCAGATCTACTGTCTCATCTTAATGTAATGCAAAGTTTATAAGCTTTCCCCTATGCTTCATATAGCACCATGAGCCACAACCCACAGTACCAGAAAGTAACTGCTCTTTTGGGCCTTTCGTGTTCAGAAAATGTCATCCAGCTAAAATTGCATTCTTGTCATCTTCCCATCTGTAGAGTGTTAAGTAATGAACATGGTTCTCCTCTACACTCACACCGAATCCCCTCACTGGTAAACAATGCCTGGGAGCACTGGGTGCATCCACATTAGTGATTCCATGTGTAGACAGGACTCTTTTTGGTGCAAATCTGTCTTGCAGAGCACACTGAAGTGTGCTACCAGACTAACTTCCCCTATTCAAGGAATACACTACCTCGTAATTAGCTGAGAAAGAACAACTTCTGCAATTAAATAGCTTTCTTGCAGCATATCATTGTATTTTTGTAACAGAACCCACAAGGATGTACTAATATTTCTATCAATTAATATTCTGAGACTTTCAAACAGGAATTTTCCATTTCTCTTGCCTCTGAAAATGAAATAAAATTGAAATATGTTAAATTACTTACACCCCCTCCAAAATAAAAATGCTTGCTTTGAAATCTAGTCACAAGCAGATTAACATCTTGTGATACAATCCCTTGTAGCAGGAGCAGCTGACAAGATGAGTAATGAACTGCATCCGATTATCTTTTCAGCTCTGTAGCAATCATTTTCCAACAGCTTCCTATGCCATAACCAACAACACTGGAAAAAGGTCACCGTTCTGTCATATTCTCCCTGCATCAGTGTATGTGTTTAATAATGCAGAGAACACATAAACCTTTGGAAGTTAAAAAGGTTCTGTTATCTGCTGCAAAGCTGTTTCAGGTGCAGGTTGCATATACAGAAAGTCTCCATAAAACATCCGTTCATAATTGAGAGCCTCTCAGAAGGAAATTATTACACTTTAGCATAAAACAGAATGCTATTTCCTCTTCCCATGCAATATGTTCTTTCTCCAACAAAAGAATCTTAACTGTAATTGATGCTATCTGAAATTCGTGATAGGCAAGATTCAGGTTGACATATACATATTTTCCCCCGTGGTGAAATGCAACCAAATCAAATCTATGAACACTAATTGCAAGCAACTATAAGACTCTAAAGGCAAAACACAACTTTCCCCCCTAAAGCAGATCCATTTAAGTCACCATTTTTGAACTAATGGTACTATCTGTTCACAGCTTTATTTTGATCTCGCAGCAGAGAACACTGGCACATAAATCACACTTTGCACCACTACAAAAC